CTCTGAGTTTTTCCCATTTACCTGTTTGTGCATTAGAATGTCATTTTTAAAAAGTTTCTTGCTTACTGACCAGGGCCCAGGAGTTACCGTACTGACCCACCGAAGTGGTCTGTAGGAGAGAAGGGTTAGTATGAGTTAGAGTTCCTCCCTGAGTGTCTGTTACAGAAAGCATGCTTGTCCATTTTTAGTTTAAATTCAATTAATTAACATATAATGTATCATTGGTTTCAGACAGAGGTCAGTGATTCATCCGTCTTATATACCAGCCAGTGCTCATTGCATCACGTGCCCTCCTTAATGTCCATCACCTGAGTGGCATCTTGATTGATAAATAGGAGTTTGACAATTAAAGAGAGGAAAGGGTTTTCTAGGCAGAAAGATTACCTGCCCCCAGTCCCTAGGCAATAAGTGTCAGACAGGTAATGTGTATTTTTCACAATTTTGAATATATGCCCCAGTATGCTATCTGACTGTAAACATGTTTTGTTGATCTCTTAGATTAAATAAAAAAAGAAAAGAAAAGAAAAAAGCCTCCCTCAAGAATCTACAAATAATTTGAAGAGGTTGGGGTACAGGTTGTATATGTGTTTGGCATGGTGGGGACACAGCATGCAGGGCTATGTGCCAGGCTAAGGAGTTTGAAACCTGTCATTGGTAGCAGGTGGGGGAGGGTGACTCTGGAGACAGGAAATAGCTAGAAGGCCATTGCAGGTGGCCAGGTGAGGCAGGGCAGTAGGAGTAGGGAGGAAGAGGCAGCTTTAGGAGAGGCACAGAAAGTGGGTTTGATGGGATCAGGTAGAATTAGATATATGTGGGTAGGAGTCTAGTCTGCCGGGTCCCTGGTGGAGTCAGGACTGTGGGGTTTCAATTAAGGGAGTATACAATGAGAATTTGGATTCTGGGCATGTTGATATATTGAATTGGACTTGTCTCAGTGGGACAAGGGGGTGGAGACTTTCCAGAAAAGGTGCATATATAGGTCTGTGCTGGAGACTTAGGAAATGAATACGACCCTGCCCCTGTCTTTAACCTGTACCCTTTCTCGGGAGTTCCCATATGTTTGTTTCTTACTCCTACTCCTACCCCAGAGAATCTCAAGTTGGTGCTAAAATCACAAGGCTGAATCTTCCAATGGAAGAAAAAGAGGACTTCACAAGATTTAAAGGCAACCTGAGGGAGGGGGTGGTGGGGAGAGGAAAGAGAGAGATGCTGGAAAGAAGCCTGAGAGAGAAAGAGAAGAGTGTGGGAAGAGGGGTAGAGAGTGTCCTGGAAGCAAAGAAATTCATAAACAAGGAAGCTGTCGAGGATCAGAGCTGCAGAGAGCAGTGGAGATGAAAACAGATATGCTTTGGATTTGACAATGGCACTTGCCAAGGGTTGCAATGGGCTGCTTCAGTGCCAGAGGGAGGCAGAGGGTCAGGGTGTACATGGTAGCATAGATGTTAGAAAGTATAGAGGGAAGTGTAACTGTTTTTTAAATATTTGACGAATGCACTTTGGCTGCCAATTTGGATAAGTCTTTGGATGTTAATGATAGAACACCTGACTCAAACTGGCCAAACCGAAAGGAATTTATAGGCTCAAATAACTGAAAAGTCCAGAAGAATCAAGCAAGGCTTGATCTCAGGGTTTAAGTGATATCAAGATCTGGTCTCTTTCTGTCTCTCTGCTTTCTCTTCTTACCTGGCTTCCTTCTCCAGCCCGGCAGGAAGGGAACTGGATACTCCCAAGTTTATGTCCTTCTAGATCGAAATTCAGCAGATGTAAGATCTTGTCTCTGTCTTTTAGGTCCAGGATTCCTAATTGGACCCACTTGGATTTTGTGCCCAAACCCAAGTCAGTGACTGGGGGAAGAGAGCAAGGATTACTTAGATGACCGTGTAGAGGGCATGTGTCCTCTCTAGGCCAGTCATCGTGGCTGGAGGAATTCAGTGCTCTGATTGACAAGACCTGGGTCATGTGGCCTGTGGAGCTGAGGGCAGAATCCCAGCTGAATCAGTGGGACTACCTACAAGGGAAGGGTAGTTCTGGAATAAGAGCCCGAAGTACAATTCCTGGAGGCTGGAATGGATGTTCTAGCTGGAGAGAGAACATCCACCAGTAGGGGAGAGAGTAGGATCAGTGCATGGAAATTATTGGTTGCTACACTTCCGCTTTTAGAGAGAAATCTTTCTATGCACTGGAGGAACGAATGAGGCCTGCTGCAGAGGTAGCAAGTTGGCTGACACGCAGTCGTGGGGAGGGGGTCTAAGCAGTCACTACGAATAGATATCGGCAGCCCATCAGAGCTGAGTAAATGGAAAAGGGGATCTGGAAGGCCGTTTTCCAAACTGTTTCTCTGTAACACAGGAATGCATTTTTACTAAAACCCAGTACACCCTCAAAATGCATATGAAACCGCAAGCAGAAGTTTCATGACATAACACTTTTCCTTACTACGTGACACATGCATGTTTACTCTTCCAGAATCCCGGTTGTGTGCAACCCAGCTCTGTTTGTTTTCATGTCACACTAATGTCAAACCCGCTGTTTGTAAAACCGTCTTCGAAGGTCGGGTGTAGGTGGCATAGGCTTGAAGCTGGTGTTTGAGTCTGGCTTGTCCATGGTGATGGTGGCACTGGTCAAGCCTGAGGAGGCAAACCTGTTCCACTTAAGGGAGGTTTGGATTCTGCTAGTGGGATCTCTGGTGTCAGAGCAGCTCTGGCCACGTGTGGGGCAGGGGCAGGGTGAGGGCGTGGCCTGCTTTTGGGCCGGAGGGCCAGTATTGGAGGGAGTTTCCGGGCTGGCCCTGGGCCAGGGCATCTCCGAGGCGGGACGGAGTTGTCTGTTTGTCTGGAGGCTGGTAGTGGCTCCTTCTGTGCCAGCAGCCGCTTGTGTTGTGAGGATGAATGTGTGTGCCTGTGTGTGCTCTCTGCCAAGCCTTTATATTGAAGATGAGGGAGTGGCTTTTTAAAAATAACATATTTTTGACTTGAAACAAGTCAAGGCAGTGAGTGGAGACAATTAGAGACTGACATCCTGTTTAGTCATCTCTCCAGAGAGCTCTATTTTCAGAACTGTTCCGTAAAGGTTCACAAGGGGTATTCAGACAGTTTAGGGGATATTGTTAACTTAGTGGTCGTGGTGATGTAAGTAGCCGATTTGAATGCTTGGTGATGGACAGTGTGGTAACGCCTTGGAAGCAGATTTTGTGCGAGGGATGGGGGGCTTATAAGAATAGGCTATTGTACAGGTAAAGCTTTCTGAGTCAGAACAAAGCAGGCATCTTTTATTTTGAAAAAGTCTGTAATCAGGGTGTGACATTAAAAATATGTGGTGGTAATCTTTAAAAATTAAAGGGGGGGGCACCTGGGTGGCTCAGTGGGTTAAAGCCTCTGCCTTTGGCTCAGGTCATGATCCCAGGGTCTTGGGATCGAGCCCTGCATCGGGCTCTCTGCTCAGCAGGGAGCCTACTTCCTCCTTTCTCTCTGCTTGCCTCTCTGCCTACTTGTGATCTCTGTCTATCAAATAAATAAATAAAATCTTAAAAAAAAATATGTGGTGGTAAGCTAGGGGAAGGTCAGTGCATTTTTTCCCTAGTCTTTGTCACCTAGGGGTACAGTCAAAACAGTAAATAGTATTGTCAGGGCTCTTTGAGCTCATTTGGTAGAAGCCAGGTCAGAATTGCTGAATGGCGACGTCACAGACTTTTGGATGAGAAGCGTGAAGCTCGGAGTGGTTTAAGGACCTTGCTCAGAGTCTAGAACCAGATGCCTCAGTTAGGCCATGTCCTCATTTAGTTTGAGCATAGTTGTGATTTGCAACTTCTTTAAGTATAATATTCTACCAAAAATGACCAGTTGTGTCTGTACTCAGCTCCTCTGGACCTCTCTCTTTGAGGATAGGTCAAGGCAGACATGGAGCCATGGGCTGAATCCAACAAGATTTTGACAATTGTAAATTGATGTATTTGGGTCCAAAAGAACGTCACAATCCAAGGCTCAGAGGTGTTCTTGGATAGTTCGAGGTTAGCACCCAACATGAAGAGGGCAGAGCCTGTGTGCCTGGGCTAGTGAGATCAGAGCGGGTGCTGCCCGAATCCAGAATGGCGTGTTGCACCAGGACAGGACGGAGCCCGGAGACGGCAAGCTGCTGAGTTGGCAGAGTGGATGTCTCCCTATCTGAGTGCATAGATGAGAGCTTTAAGGGATGAACAGGCAAGAGTCGTGGTTGCAGAGCTCCTGAATTGCCTTCCCTGCGCTTGCTGAAGATTAATTACACTCAAGTGAAAACGGTAGAGATGGAGACTGTACTCTTCTCATACTTTTCACTTCCTAAAAGGAAAGGTTGCAGTTGACTGTGCCACATTTGTTCATTACCTCTCATGTTGCCATTGTTTCTCTATTTCATACATCTGTCAAGTGGTTATTATTTTTTTTTTTAAAGATTTACTTATTTGAGAGAGAGAGAGAGAGAAGCAGAGAGGGGCAGCAGGAAAGAGAGAGAGAGGAGAGAGAGAGAATCTCAAGCAGACTTCCTGCTGAGCGCAGAGCCCAATGGGCTGAACCCCACAACCCTGAGAGCATGACCTGAGCTGAAATCAAGAGTCCGATGCTTAACTGACTGAGCCACCCAGGAGCCCCTTCCTGCCATGTGGTTTAATAAAATAAGATAGGGTTATTTCTTATGTTATTATCTGACATAAGATAGGGTTATTTCAGAAACAGTGTCCAAGCTTACAGGTACTTCTCAATAATATCACAAAGAGCCAAAATGGAAGAGACTAAAATTCAAGACAAGTGGAAACATTGGAAGAACGATTTCCCTTAGATTCGCTTTTCCGCCTTTACAGTTTCGTGTGCTTTCACGCGTTTCTTACCCCTCTGCTGTTGAATGAAAGTCTTAAGTCTGATCGATGCTGTGATTTTGCACATGTAGACCTCTTTGTAAAGAATTATTTGAGGTCCCACAAAAAGGACTTCAAAGTTAGAATATAACACATGATTCTTTTCTCCTTCTAGGTGGATCTGGAGCCAGAAGGGAAGGTGTTTGTGGTAATAACCCTAACGGGGAGCTTCACTGAAGGTAAGGACGAGTTTGGGTGGTTTCTGGTATAAGTGTAATCATAGTCGCTGTCAGTAGGAGTTTCTGACCTGGAAGTTTATAAAAAGAGCATTTTGTAAAAGAAGCTTTAAAAATGGTTTTATGTTAGGTTGGCTCGTATTTTGTTTGTAATGATCTGTTGGTTTGGATTGCCAGATTACGTATATTTGCTAAATCTGGCGATCTCATGATTTGTTTGACATATTCACTGAATTTTATTTTCTTCATCAACATCTTAGCTGAATGGGTTCTTGCCTCTTCTTGTTCATGTCTATCAAATTGTATTACAGATTTTTGGTTTGGGGGCCAACTTTTCACTTTGCCCTGGATGTGTTAAAAAATCTAAGGTGGGGGGTGGGAGGTTGGGGGAACCAGGTGGTGGGTATTAGAGAGGGCATGGATTGCATGGAGCACTGGGTGTGGTACAAAAACAATGAATACTGTTATGCTGAGAATAAATTTAAAAAATGATTAAAAAAAAATCTAAGGATCATAGTCTCTTTCTTACAATCTTTATCTCATTCTGCCCTGTAAGGGATTCTAGTCCTCTCTCCCTGGTGCTACCCCCACCTCCCACTCCCTAATTTTTTTTTAATTGAGGTAAAATGTATATACAGTGAAATGAACAGATTGGAAGGGAGGAATTTGAGTTTTGGCAAATGCATGCAGCCACATCCCCAGCACCGGTGATCCAAGATAAAGAACATTTCCACCACTCTGGAAGTTCCCTTGTGTCCTTTCCCAGTCAGTCTCCTGCTGCCAGAGGCAATAAATGGGATGTTTTATTTTTTTCACCGTAGATTAGTTTGGTCTATCCCAGAAGCTCACGTAAATGGAACTACATAGTATGTTCTCTCTTGTGTCTGATTTCTTGCACTCAGCATAATTTCTGTGAGACGCTCCTGTGTCCTTGTGTGTGTTAGCATCCCATTCCATGACCTACCCATTCTCTTCCTGATGGACATTTGGAGTCATTAGGAACATTGCTGCTATACGCATGGTTGTTCATACATTTTTGTCGATGTGCCCTTTCTCTCCTCTTGGGTAGATACATAGTCCTGGAGTTGCTGGGTAATAAAGGAAATACATGTTCAACTTCATAAGAAACTCACAAATGTTTTTCTAACGTCTTTATATTTTTATACTCCCACCAGGAGTGTATGAGCGTTCCGATTATTCCATTTCCTCACCAACACTTGGTATGGTCATTCTCTTTAACGTCAGACAGTCTAATGGGTATAAAACAGTATCTTGTGGTTTTCATTTGCATTTCCCTGGGTTGAGTACTTTTGCATGTGATCCTTTTCTTCCCAAGTACCAGCTAAGGTCTTTTTGTTTTCTGAAATTTGGTTTGTCTTTCTATTACTGATTTATAGTTGTTTGTTTTCTAGAGAAGCATCCTTTGTCAGAAATTGGTATTGTGAATACATTCTCCTAGTGTGTGGCTTGCCTTTTCACTTTCCTAGTGGTGTCTTTGAGCAGAAGTTTTAAATTTCTCTGGAGTCCTGTTTATCAATCTCCTCTTTCATAGCTTATACATTTTGTATCCTCTGTAAGAAATCTGTCATAGGGGCACAATAATATTGTCCTGTTTTCTCTTAGAAGATTACAGGATTTTACGTTTAGATCTGTGTTACATTTAGGTCTTTGTTCCTTCTTAAATTAATATTTGTGAGTGGAGGGGTTGGGATTTCTTTTCCCTGTACTACAATCCAGTTCTCCTACTCCCTGCCATTTCTCGAAGACTTTCTTTTTTCTTGGCACCTTTGTCACCAATCAGTTGACTCTACTGTGGACCTATTTATAAACTATTTTGTTCTATTGATCTACTGATCTATCATTACGCCAATACCACACCATCTTCATTGCTGTTGCTTTATAGTAAGTCTTAAGGCTAAATAGTGCGAGTCCTCCAGATGCATTTTGTTTGTTTGGAGGTTATTTTAGCTATCTTCAGTATTTTAAATTCTGATGTCAATTTTAGAATCAGCTTATCAGTCTCCACAGAAAAGCCTACTGAATTTAGAATTAAAGTTGTATTTAATCTATTCATCGATTTGAGGAGAGCTGACATCTTAACAGTTGTGAACATCTTCAAGTCCATAAACTGGGTATATTCCTCCGTTCACTGATGGTCTCTAATGTCTCTCATCCATATCAATATTAGAAATTCTATATAATTTTCAATACAGAGATTTTGCACATATTTAAAAATATATTTCTAAGTATTTTAAGCTCTTGATGCTGGTATACATGGTATTTAAACATTTTTATTTTGGAAATTGGTAACAGTATATAGAGATGAAGTTTTTGCTTGACTTTGCATCCTATGACCTTAAAAAATTTCACTTACTAGTTCTAGTAGGTTTCTCTTTCTCTCTCTCTCTCTCTCTTTTTTTTTTGTACCTATCTTAGGATTTTCTCTGTAAATAATCATGTTATCTATGAATAAGACAATTTTTTTTTCTTTTCTAATGTTTATGACTTTTATTTCCTTTTCCTGCTTTATTGTGCCCAGAGGCCTTGAGGACAGACCTCCTTGTCTCATAACTAGTTTTAGGAGGAAGGAATTTAGTCTTTCTTTGTAAGTATGATGTTAGTTATGTGCACTTTGTGTATATACTTTTCATCACAATCAAGGAAGTTCTTTCAAGGCCTGGTTTTCTGATAGGTTTGGTTTTGCTTTTCTTTCTTTCTTTCTTTTTTTCTTTCTGTCTTTTTAAACCAAGAGTGACTGTTAAATTTTGGCAAGGCCTTTTTCTTTATCATTGACATAAGCATGTGGTTTTTCTCCTTTGTTCTTTTCTTTTTTTTTCCAGCAGGCAGCTAAATTACTGGCTATCACCTGAAAATTGTGAAGGCTTTTGAGAGTGGGATTTTTTTTTTTTTTTTTAATTTCCCCCCTTAGTTCTTGGACAGATTCCATAATCCTGAGACATACTATTCACTCACAAGGTCTAACCAAGTTGGGGTTTCAGTGGAAAGCCTAAGGTGTTTTAAGTCCTTTTCACTTCGTGGAACTTGGCCTCTAAACTCTCTCTCCTGCAGTGAGAGAGAGCAGACATCTCACCTCCTTTCTCTCAGCCTTCTAGTTACTGCTTTTGGTGGACTTCTCTGAGTCTCTCTTGAGTATGCACAGATTGGCAGAGTTTATAGATTTGGGGATTCTTCTCTCTGTGGCCACATCTTTTCCAGGATTTCTCTGCTCAATTTCCTGTCATCTGTTAGTCCTGAATTTTGTCATTTCACTCTTCAAGCCAGTAAAACTGTAGTTTTCTGCTTGAATTCTTTTCACTCGACCTATGCAGCCTGGAGAATAACCTTGGGAGATGGCCTATAAATATGGATCTTGACCAGTGCATTTTCCTTCTTTTGAATGTCAGATTCCCTCCAATTTCTGTCCTCTTTTGGATGCTCTCCAGTGTTTTCAACTAAGTGTTTTAAAATATATTTCTAGAGGTTTTAATTGTTTGTGGTGGGAGGGTTAGTTATTAAAAGCCACTCTACCACTAAAATCCTGTGAAGACTTTTAAACTGTGGCTTAATGGTTTGTCCTTTTGGTGTTGGCATTTTGCAGATTGGTGACACTTTTGAAAATTGGTTTTCTCTTCTCTTTGCTGACTGCTGTTCACGTGGGAGAATTGTTTTAATGTTAATGTTTAATTTTTCCATCTTTCCCAATTGTTGCATCATATCTTTTGCTCCGATATTGAAGTTAGCATATATGTGGGATACTTGAACCTGAAAAAGCTCTCTAGATGATGGCTTGGTCAGCTCAAAGACATTTTTGTTTTGCCTGGTATCTTGTACATAGAAGATCGAGAAAGAGGAGTCTATTGATAGCTCAAATAAAATATAATGCGGTTACAGAACACTGTTGCTAGAACATTCTCATAGCATGGGCAAAACCACAGTAGAGGTAAACCCCTCCATGAAAGAAGAGGCAGAGCAAGGAGTGCGTGAGATTCTCAGTGTGCTGAACTACCTTTCTGCATTAAGTTACACAGGACCGATGGAGTGAGGCCGTGCACAGCAGACCACATGTCATTGTGCCATAGTCATTCTGTGACTTCCTTTTTTTAAAAGTGATGTCACCTCTCAAGGACTAAACTATATCCAGGTTCTGTCTTCCTTAATTGTAACACTAGAAACACTAGAACACTGGGACTGGAATCCTTGTGGATGTTGTCATTACATTAATTGATTAGCGTTAGTGATAAGAAAGGAATGCCAAATATTACTAGGGGTGAGTTCTTACCAGGTCATTGCAATGCTGTTCTTTTTAGAGTGGACCCTGGGTAAAATTGTGAGGCTGGCTGAGTTCCTCTCTCGTACTCCCACCTCCTCTTTATGTTAGTCCTTCTTGCTCCCTGCCTTTAACTGTCTCTTAGTTCCAGTAAGATACCCAGTGATCTCTTCTCTCTAGGAACAGTTGCTCACAAGGAAGACAGTGAATTCACAGACTAATTCACCCCAGAGTGATAGCGATTAATAATATCTTAGTGTTCTACCCCTCGGAGGTGTGCCTGTGTATTTTAAAAGCTGCTGAAACTGACGTTTTATCCATGAGAAGGAGATTTTTAGTGTTGACATTTCAGAAGCCATAAGCATCTAGGCGTGGGATATATTTTAGAACCTCGGATCTGTTCTCTGTCAGTGGGAGCACTGTCTTGTCAGTCTGACTCCGAGGCTGGGGCTCAGTAAGAGCTTGCATGCTGCTGCCGCTTTAGACCGCAGCTCCCTTGTCAAACGCAGAGGACGTGAGAGCTGCCTGTGTGTGTGTGTGTGTGTGTGTGTGTGTGTGTGTGTGACATGAGGGAATGCAGCCCTACCATGCACCTGCTACAGCTGGGGCCTAGCATTGTGAGAATGTCCCCGGCAGCCACTCGGGGTGACCCCCAGCCATAAAATGACAGGTTGGCTCAGGGAAAGTTTGGCGCGCTCTCGTCCTTATCTTGGAAGCTGAAGGGCTTTGCATAAGA